AGGCACAACAGAGCTTGGTGCATTGAAGGAACAAAACAAAGACAGTTTAAGTACAGCTAACAAAACTTGAGGGAAAGAGAAAAAAAATCAAGAAACCTGAAAGGTAGACTGGAAATAGATCCCATAAGACTTTTAGGATTGAGTTTTATAATATAAGAAGTCTTCAAAATATTAATGGGCAATGTGCATTATCAAAGAAAGCATGCATGGATTTCAAAATGTGTTACATCAAAATAGATTCATCTTTAATTCTATTTTCCATGAGCCTTTTGAAATACCCTCAAATGTACAGTGCCGGGGCTTAAAACTGAGGCTTGATATATGATCAAGGTTAACATTTCAAAAAGACCACTACCGGCTGCAAAGTGAAAGAGGGAAAGAAGGAAAACAAAGGATCAGAGGAAGAAAAGTCCACGTGAGAGACTTCTACACTGTGGAAACAAGAGCTGACCAAATGAAAAAAGCACAGGCTATTTATTCTGAGCTTCTGTAGTAAGGCAGTTAGCTACTGCCACTTGCCTTTTGGCAAAGATCAAAGGCAGGCAGAAGAGTGGGAAGTTTTACAGTGGAAAAAGGCGAAACTTCAGGCATCCCCTGATAGAGGCTGTTGGCATACAGAAAGCTATGGGTGCACTAACTAGAAGCAAAATCATGCTATGTGACCTAGTTAGGGTAACAAGTTTCACTTTCTCTGGTTGGCCCTAAATTGAAAGCAGGGATAAAAATTAAAGAAGCAGTCAGTTATCTGTAACACCCTTGTCAATTGAGGCCATTACTACACATGTTATTCTGTAGCCTCCAGATTGTTACTAGAGGTAAAAATCTGGTTTTCTTTAAGTTTGATTTATAGTAAACCTGTTTCTTGGGCTATTCATTGCAGAGAAAGAGTTGTTTTGCTGGGCAGGTTGCTTCAGATTGTGAGCCAGAGATCTAGCTTTATAGTCCATCCACTGTCCTTTTGTACAACTATATTCAGTCTCTCAGATAGCAGTGGTGGAGGAGAGAAATTAATGGATTCAATTAATGTCTATAGATAGAACAAGACTTGATAACAGATTGGATGCAGGAGGGGGACAAAGAAGAATCTGGAATGACTCCTAGTCTGAAACCCCAATAATATTTGATCAGTAGTTTTTCTTAGGATCAAAGAAATGAGATGTAATTTAGTATGCAAAGCTGAGCACTGGTATCCAGAGCAGGAGGTCAGTAAAATTCTTCTGTAAAGGAACAATTGGTAAACTTTCAGCTTTGCAGGCCATGTAGTATCTGTTCTAACTCCTCAGCCCATTGCAGCATGAAATATCCTTAGACCAAGTAGAGATGACTGGGAGTATCTGTATTCAATTTGAATTCCTTATAATGTTCTTTTTTTACTCACTTGAAATATAAAAATTATTCATAACTCACATGCCTTACAAAATAGACAGTATTCAGAATCTGGCCTGCTAATCCCCGATCAAGGGTCAAGGCTCATCTGGTGCATGTGCAAAATGCTGTGTTAAGATTTGCACACATTATCTTGCAATTCTAAAAACTATGCCAAAGGGGCCGGTGCCATGGCACAGGTTAATCCTCTGCCTGCAGCACCAGTTTCCCATATGGGCGCCAGTTCTAGTCCCGCTGCTCCTCTTCCAATCCAGCTCTCTGCTATGGCCTGGGAAAGGAGTAGAAGATGGCCCAAGTCCTTAGGCCCCTGCACCTGTGGGAGACCTGGAAGAAGCTCCTGGCTCCTGGCTTTGGATCGGCCCAGCTCCAGCCGTTGTGGCCATTTGGGGAGTGAACCAACAGAGAGAAGACCTTTCTCTCTGTCTCTCCCTCTCACTAAAAAATTTGTAATTCTGCCTCTCAAATGAATAAATAAAATCTTTTTAAAAATTGTTAAAAAAAACTATGCCAGATTATTTTTATTATTAGTCCTATTTTAATAACTAGCAACTGAGGCTTAGGAAAGATAAGCAAATTTTCCAATAATTGGCAATTGTATTTATTACTGACCAAATGTTGGATTCAAAATAATACCTGTCTATACTGGACAGTCACATCCAATTCACTTGGTCTCTAAATTTTTAGTTTCCACAACATTTTGAATTATAACATACTAGAATACTTCAAAATGTTTGTGGATAAATGGAAGTAAAAGATAATGTGCATTTTCCATGAACTCTTTTAAGATAACACATATATCTAGTTTCCTATTGGTGTTGTAGAACTCAAATAAAATACTCACACTTTGTAATGCACTTTATAAATTACAGTGCTGGGGCCAGCACTGTGGCATATCAAGTTAAGCTACCACCTGCAACACCAACATCCTATATGAGTGCAAATTAGAGTCCAGCTGCTCTGCTTCCAATCCAACTCCCTGGTAACGTTGTACCTAAGAAAGAAGCGGAATATGGCCTAAGTACTCAAGCCCTTGCCACTCATGTGGAAGACTGGCATGGAGTTCCAGGATCCTGGCTCTGGCCTGACAAAGATTCAAATATTGGAAACATTTGAGGAGCTCATCAGTGCACAGAAGATCTCTTGCTGTCTCTCCATCTCTATAATCTACCTTTCAAATAAATACATAAATCTTTTAAAAAAGTAATTCATTAATTCTTCTGCTTTGTCTCCACTCTCCACCCAACGTAGCCACGTGCTTTCCATCCTCATTTAATTCAGGTATTTATGTATAATTCACATCAAAGAGGCTTCTCTGATCATCCTAAGAGAGCACCCCCAGTACTATCAACTCAGTCATTTTTCTTCATAATACACTTCACAATGACACATCATGTAGATTTTTTGTCTGCCTTCCCATGCTAAAACACATGATAAAAACAACTAATAACTATTATTGAGTAAATATATAATATATACATAGAAGGCTTAATCTCTTGATACAACATTTTCTAATTTTCCATTTTTTTAAAGATTTTATTTATTTATTTGAAAGGTAGAGTTACAGACAACGAGAGGGAGAGACAGAGAGAAAGGTCTTCCGTCCGCTGGTTCACTCCCCAAATGTCCACAATGGCCGGAGCTGCGCCAATTCGAAGCCAGGAGCCAGGAGCCTCCTCCAGTCTCCCACAGGAGTGCAGCAGCCCAAGGACCTGAGCCATCCTCTGCCGCTTTCTCAGGCCACAGCAGAGAGCTGGATTGGAAGAGGAGCAACCAAGACCAGAACCAGCGCCACAGGCAGAGGATTAACCCGCTGCGCTACCATGCCGACCCCTAATTTTCCATTTGAGCAAAAATTTTAGTAAAAAATTTATCTCACTCCATACATCCTTAAGAGAAAAGTAGATTCAGTATTACAGCAGTGATGGAATTAAGTGTCATAAGCACTAGAACACTCCTGCTTCCTTAAAGAATATATCTGTAATCTTATCTGTATCTTATGGTATATACACACTATGGAATACTACTCAGTGCTGAAAAAAATGAAATCCTGTCTTAGGCAACAAAATGGATGCAATTAGAAACCATTATACTAAGTAAAATAAGCCAGTCCCAAAAAATACAAATACAATATGTTTTCCCTGATCTCTGGTAACTAATAAAGTACCTAAAATGTAATACATAGGAGTGAAATTGACATTTTGATATTTGATTATCTCAACAGTTGAAGATCAGTGTTTTGGTTTTTTTTTCCTTCATACTATTTGTTGAACTCTTTACTTAGTGGAGGGTTAATCCTATGAATATAAAGTAAATTGAAAATAGATCTTTGTAAACATTAAGAGGGGGAATAGGAGAGGGAGGAGGAAGAGGGTGGGAACACAGACAGAAGGGAGGGTAGGGAGGGAAGTATCACTATATTCTTAAATATGTATATATGAAATACTTGAAATTTATGTACCTTAAATAAAATTCTAAAAAAATACACTGCTTTATGGAAAAAAAAGAATATGTCCGTAATCTATTTTATTTTTAAGGAGATACTTCCTGATCTTATTTTGAAGAGTTTAAAAAAAAAAAACTCTTGAATTCATGGAACTCTTTCAGTTTAATTCATAACAACACAAGACAGCCAATAAACAAGGAACTTTATAGCATTATTTTAATCTAATTTACTAGTTCAACTGGAAGATATTTCCAGAGATAAATTACTCTAGATTTTGAAATCTTGTCAGTTAATAGGTATGGCTACCTTCTTGTTTTGACTTTCTGATCCTAAGCCTTTCACATCAAGGTACATGGCTAAAATTCTTAAACATGTCTAGTTTTTCATGGTTTTAAAATTTTCATTCAACTAGCACTACTGCTCCAATACCTGCTATCCAACTCCATATATTTGTGATTTTATAGAAGTTCCCTGAGGGCCAGTGCTGTGGCATAGCTGGTTAACACCCTGGCCTGAAGCACCGGCATCCCATATGGGCACTGGTTCAAGTCTTGGCTGCTCCTCTTCCAATCCAGCTCTCTGCTATGGCCTGGGGGAGCAGTGGAGAATGGCCCAAGTCCTTGGGCCCCTGCACCCGTGTGGGAGACCCGGAAGAAGCTCCTGGCTCCTGGCTTTGGATCGGCGCAGCTCTGGCCGTTGCAGCCATCTGGGGAGTGAACCATCAGACAGAAGACCTCTCTTTTTCTCTCTCTTTGCCTCTCCTCTCTGTGTAACTCTGACTCTCAAATAAATAAATAATCTTTAAAAAAAAAAAAAAAGTTCCCTGAATCTTTTCTATAACTGATATCCTCTCATTACTTCCCATATAATGACATAGTTATTTCCTTACTTACTAGTCATTCCATACATCCTTTAGAACTGTAACATTATTTACTCATAAACATTTTCAAAATTTTACATTTTATTCATGAACACAGTCTCATTCACTTTCTTTTGAGTCAAAAAGCATTTTAAAAATTCTTAAAGATGCTTTCTCTTAGTTTTTTTTTTCTTTCAATCATGACTCAGCAATACATTATATAATCACTTCTGTCTGTTTCAGTAAACCTAAAAGAATTCACTACTTGAATATACATAAATATACAATATAAACATATAAATGTATACTTACACATATGAGGGCAAGACTTGATCTATAAACTGCTGCTGTCTGAAAGAGAAAATAAGCAGCAACAAAATTATCAGAGTCCTGTTGGAAATTCTTGAGTAAACAATGCTGCATTTTGAAACATTAATTGAGAAGCTGCATTCTATGAATTATACCAAGAACTGCATTCTGCAAAAATATTAACCAAGTTAGAACATTTATTTAAAACCTAATGCTCAGAATTGAAATGCATCACAAGCCAAAATGACTATAACAACTTCAAGAAAATTCCCTCTGTCAAGGAAGTAGAGTAACAGAAGTGCAAAGACAGTTCGGATTAATAATTTATATTTTCCTAATATCAGTTATCTGAATATGTGCATCTCAAGTCATCCTATGTGCCTGTTTGTGCACTTAATGTGTTCATTTTAAAATGATGGCTACAAAATAAACAGAACTCAACAGGTTCACAATGAACAAAAATTAAGTAATGTATTAATCTTGGGCCCATTTACAATTACATTGGAAAGAATAATAATTTACTGACTTTAGCAAAGTGTGATGACTTTATTAGCAATCCAGTGTAATAGTGGCAAACAGTGGATGCTTGCCAAGAAATACAAGTTTTATGCAATACTTTAAATAATTTTTTATTTGTTGATAGGCTCCAAGTATGACAAAAGACATGAGTCATAACAGCATGCTACAGTACACAGGCAGATTAACATTTATTTACCATCCACTTTTTGAGCTTCATAGCAAAGTGAAAACTCTTCCCTCTTTATATCAGTCTCTAGCTCAACCTCCTTCAAAGAATGGGGACCACCATTAACCAACATTGCTCTTTTCAAAAAATTAGAGAATTCTGGTTATTTCAGCAATAGCTCATCTGTGTCAGCACTTATTTTTTGTCTTATGAGCTCAGATTTTTAATTTTCAATTGTTATTTAGGTAATTTTATGGTGCTCTTTTGATCCAATTATATATTTGTTCACCACACATTCAGTCAGAAAACATTTATTGAGAGCATATTATAATGCTAAGTTCTAAAAATATTTAGATGAATTTTACTGTTTCTGGCCACAAGAATTTTACAGTGAGGTATATGTGTGTGTTGCAACAACAATTTAGAGTCGCTCATGCCTTAATAGCAATAGGGAGCAAAAGATATTTTTTACTATCTTGGTATAATTGGGGAATCCTGATCACATAGAAGGTAACATTTCATACTGCCTGGTAAATAATATTCTAAATATTATAAGGGAAGAAAAAAGTCCACAGAGGAGAAGCAGCATGCTCAACAGCACAGAAGTGTGTAGGCAAGAAAGAGAGGTCCAGGGAGTTCTATGGTTGGGTGAGGCAGAAAAAAATATGACTGGAAGCAAGGAGAATAAATGACTATTCACCAGGAATATTAAGTGAATGACTCAAAATTTGGAAGGAAGACTGAATTCTAATACCCCTTGCCACTCTATAATAATTTTAGCCTACATTTATTCATTGTTGATCACAAATGTAGCAAAATACCTTCTTCTTGCTCCCAACTATTTGTTAAATGAGCAATCAAATTCTAATTTACTTGTTAGTAAATCACAAGTTCACATAAAGAATGTGCTTACACTTTACCTGTCCCTGTATTCCCAATAATTACTACTGATGAATCATTCTTATAACTTTTTAAACTTTTTTTAAAGATTTTATTCATTTATTTGAAAGGCATAGTTACACAGAGAGAGCAAGAGGCAGAGAGAGAGATCTTCCAACTGCTAATTCATTCCCCAGATGGCTGCAATGGCCAGTGCTAGGCCAGATGAAAGCCAGGAGCTTCATCTGAGTCTCCCACATGGGTACAGGGACCCAAATTCTGCTACTTTTCCAGACACATTAGCAGGAAGCTGGATTGGAAGTGGAGCAGCCGAGACTTGAACCAGTGCCCATATGGAATGCCTCTGCTTCAGACAGCAGCTTAACCTGCTGCATCACAGCACCAGACTCTGTTTTCTTCTATAAGATGATTTTCGAAGGACTCACACACACAATCTATCATTTGCCTAAACAAAGTGTCTTGAAAGCTCTATAATGGCTATACTAAATAAGCAAGATTAAAATGACTGTTTTTGTTGCTACAGTAAAATAACTCAGTATAATTGTAGTGGCAGATTCTCCTAGGAACAAAAGTATAAACATGATTACTAGTAGCCAAATGTTTTACTTCAGCACTTTCAATTTCAAATTATTTTCCCATAACATTACATTTTTGTACAAATTCTCAAATACTTAAAAATATGTAGATTCATAGTACCACAGAATTAACATTTCTAAGTTTAAGAATTAGTATTTGGGGGGCCAGGATTGTGGAACAGAGGTTAAGTCACCACTCTCAATGCTGCATCCCATTTTGGAGCATCAGTTTGAATACCAGTTTGAATACCAGTTTGAATCCTGGCTGTTCCATTTCCCAAACAGTTCCCTGCTCATGTGCTCTGGAAAGCAGTGGGAGGTAGCCCAAGTGCTTGGACCCCTGCCATCAACATGAGAGCCCTGGATGGAATTCCAAGTGCCTGGCTCCAGCCTGGCCCACTGCCGGTTGTTACAGCCATTTAAAGAGTAAACCAGTGGATGGAAGAGCGATCTGTCTCTCCCACATGTGCACCCACCCTCTGTCCCTCTCTCCCTTTCCCTCCCTCTCTGTATCTCTGCCTTTCAAATAAATAAATCTTTAATTAAAATTAAAAGAAGTAATATTTAATATCTATCATTTTGTAAAATTAACTTCCTTGGATTCTACTGAAATTAGAAAAAACTAAATTTGACATTATTTATATTTATATATTAATATATACTTATATTACATATTTATAGCATAGCATTTAATCCCACTATCTTGCGAAAAGAAATTGTATTAGTAACTGTGGTCCTGCCAGAGTTTTGCCGAGTCTAGCCATAGCTCTGAGAGCTGCCAAGTTCTAAGTGTAGTAGAATAAACACAGACTCACTTACATGGAGAGAATGTGCCAGTTTTTAATCATCTCTTTAATCACCTCCAACATCTGCCAGTTTTTCTCTTTCTGAAAGTGCTGCCACTTTTAGCATGTCCCCCCAAGAGGCAGGTGCAATATACAAAAAGCATGGTGCAGTACTTTCCAATTGAGTCCCTCTTGGCTTCAACTGAATGATGCCCCATCCTGGTTTGGCTGAGATCAGATGGATAAACAACCTCCCCCACTATTCAATATGACAACACCACAGGAGTACTGGCATCCTGAAGGGCTTCCTAGCAGTTCCTGAAATAAAATAACATAAAAGAGAAATATCTAAAGGAGAGGGGAGTTGGGGGAGTCAGAATTCTAAAGCACAAAAATAAGGGAAGGTAGGTAAGCATTAATATATATAAATGAACAAAAAGAAAGAAATTGCAGGAACCGTATAAAATTCATCAGCAAATCAGATGCCTTCCTTTAAAACAGCAAACTCTGATTGCAAATTAACTGTGTAGGATGAAGTATTGGAGACAGTTTACAAATCAGATAGATTCAAAGAGTGCTCCTACTGGGGCTTGGCTTAGAATAAATCCTGCCTGAGTACCCTGAAATTCCGAGTTTAAATAATCAATGGCTATCGATTTTTCACTTTTGTTCTGCCAACATTTGGTTATTCCCCAGATCACGTAGCCCTGCCATTTGAACCAAAGTCAATAAAGAATTTATTTATTCATTAGAATCTGTAGAGGTAAAACGTAATGCTGAAAAATTACATTTAAGATTTTCTACAGTAAATATCAAACATTTTGTGTAGGATTTTAATATGTATGACAAATCTGTATTAAAGACATCAGCAAGATAAACTTATGCTTTGTAAGGGACTGTTATTGATGAACTGAATTGCATTATTACAGGAGAAAAGTCACTTTAAAAGAATCTAACAATAAATTTGGGCACCTACAGCAGGAATGTGAATATTAACTTGTTTATGTATTAATAATCATGAAGTATCATTGTGATTTTCTTTGAATTCTTGAAAGCACAAGATCTAAGTACACTACTGTGCTCTGACCTCTATCAAACTAGTTCATTGTAATGATAAACTGTTGCAAAATACATAGAAGTGCAGATTGCTGTGGCAATATCAAGGTATAATAGCTCCCGGGTCATCTAATCATTGCAATTATTGTTTAAGGAAATGTCTCAATTAAATAGAAAAATATTATTCATTTCTTATTTATGACATTTGTTTTAAGCATTTTATTTTTCCTACAAAACACCAAAAAACTTACAATACTTTCCAGTAAACAGACAGCTCTATCAATAAATTTCATTAGTGATATCAACTGATCTTTTGAAGTATATAAAAGTGGTAACTGTTCAAAATATTTTGATAAATTGATGTTTCTATGTCATCATTTCATCTAATGATTACTTTCTATTTTATAAGATTTTCTAATAGTCATTTTTAATTTCTACTTGAAAACCTCTATTAGAGGTTAACCATTGGAACACAATTTTAACCACACTCTTACTTCTATCTATGATTCAGTATGTGAATCTCCCAAATTTTAATTAATAGAACTTTCCAGGATCTTCTATACTTATTCTAGTCATGTGGTATCTCTATGTTGTACTTTTATTTTCATAGAAATTTTCCCATCATTCTTCTATTCTGTCCTCATATAAGGCATTTCCAGTTTTACTCATGAAGAAACAGATACAGAAAGATTAAGTAAAATCAATGTACAAACATTACTTATAAAATCAAAATTTTAACCCAGTGCTTTCCCCACTAGATCACAGTCTCCATTTGTCCTACTTGAGGTAAGCCTTAAGGATAATTACCCTTATAAACTCATTAGCTTCAAACAATGTACCACAAGGTAAGTGAAATTTTAGCCATATAGTCTGAATTTGAGACAATAAAGGATCCTCATACTCAATTTTCAAAAATTAATTTTTCAGGTATCGGTGCTGTTACACAGCAGCTAAAGTCACCAACTGCATTGCCAGCATCCCATATGGGTACCAGTTTGAGTCCCAGCTTCTCCACTTCCAATCCAGCTCCCTACTAATGTGCTTGGGTAAGCAACAGAAGATGGCCCAAGTGCTTGGACTCCAGCACTTATGTGGGAGACTCGGAAGAAACTCCTGGTTCCTGGCTTCAGATCAGCCAAGCTCTGGTCATTGCAGCTGTTTAGGGAGGAAATCAGCAGATGGAAGAACTTTCTTTTCTCCCTCCCTCTCTCTTCTGTAAATCTGCCTTTCAAATAAATGAATAAATATTTTAAAAATTTAATTTTTGAATATTATGAAATTAATAAACGTCTAGGTTATATGAACATGAGTTCCTTTTCCCAAACAAACTGACATATAAATGTAAAGTTGAACTTCCTAAGCATGACCATAGGTTGGACAATTTCCGTAATGGTTAAGTTGCTGGTTGGGATACACACGTCTCTCACATTTGTGTGTTTGGGTTCAATAATTGCTGCCAGCTCCTGATTCCAGCTTCCTGCTAATCCAGACCTTGGGAGGCAGTGGTGATGGCTCAAGTGATTGAGTTCCTGCCACCCACATGGGAGACCTAAACGGAGCTTCTGGCTCCTGGCTTAAACCAGCTGAGCATCCCTGGACAATGCAGGCATGTGGGAAATGAACCAACAGATGGGAACTCTGTTTCTTTCTCTTTCACCTGCCTCCCAAGTAAACATATAATTTCTTAGAAAAAAAAAATAAAAACTAGGGCCAGCATTGTGATGTAGCAGGTAAAGGCACCTCTTGCAATGCTGGCATCCCATATAGGTGCTGGTTAAGTCACAGATACTCCACTTCCCATCCAGCTCCCTGCTAATGGCCTGGGAAAACAGCAGAATATGGCCCAAGTGGTTGGGGCCCTGCTATCTACATGGAAGGACTGGAAGAAGCTCCTGGCTCCTGGCTTCAACCAGGCCAAGCCTCAGCCATTGTGGCCTCCTGGGGAGTGAATCAACAGATGGAAGATCTCTCTTTCTCTCTCTCACTTTCTCTCTCTCTGTAACTCTACTTTCAAATATAGATAAATATTTTTTAAAAAGAAACATCACCATATAATTTACACTTCCATCATAATTCTTCTAAAAGAATTTTTGATTAGAGGAGAAAGGTTAAGCCTGGAAGAAAACAGATAAAACAAATATTTGCCTTAAGTTTGTTTTCATTAAAAAAAATTAAAAGCCAACATATAGATTTTCTAAATCCATATCTCACCATCCAAAGTACATATTTTTAAACAAGTCTTGAGATTCTCATGGATTTTTGTTCTTTTTCATATCAAGTAATTCATTTCTATATTAAATTGATATTTTGAATTATAAGATATTTTTATCAAATAAAAATTAAATGATTGACTATCTCAACATTTTCATTTTATAAATAAAAATGCAGATTTCAAAGATAGATTCAACAGTGTTTTTTGTGATTCTAAATGGTATTTTCTTCCTGCTTCTTCAAAACAGGCAAAAAAATTAAGTGAGGGTTTGTGTGGCATACAAGTGAACACAATTAAGGAAACCCTCATTGTTGTCTTCTGAATAGACTTGTCACATTACTATTCACAGCTTTGTCTAGTGACAGTGGAATATCAAAAAGATACTGAATAATATAGCAAAAATCTATTGTGCCACTGAGATCTAATCTTTGTCTGAATGTAATTGCCTTATTAAAAGATTTGCAAGCTTACTCTTTCTGTGATTCTAAAATAAGCCAAGAAAAAGCATGCTGTAAAACTGCAACTGTGGGTCTCCATGATATGACAACAGCATGTAAGTCAAACTGGAAATTAAAACCCCATTCCATGGTTCCCCAGCAATGGCATGGATGATTCTACTCCTGCAATTATCCCTGGTGATATGAATGGCGTTTGGAAGACTTTCTTCCCATGAACTTAGCTGAGAGGGCCTGAGGAACTGCTTATGTAAATAGGAATATCTCATTTAGATTGTAATTTATGTTATATGGCAGTGTCTGTCTCATAGTACCTGTTCATTATACAGCTTACAGGATAAGCTCCTTTGTCTTCTTCCCCAACACCCCGACTCCTCCCCACTCTGAAACACCTTGCTTGAAGCCTTCCTGTGGGGAAGAACTTTTTTACCATTCACTGGAAGGAAAGAGGTAATTGTACATAGTGATGCTGATTGTCAGCTTTAATAAATAGTGGAAGTGAGTAAACCTTTTTTTTTTTACTTTCAGCATATCCTTTTTTTATACATTAGAATGTTTTACATTTATGGTTTTCTGAGAGGCATTGCTTCCTACTCCCCTCACTTAGATCTAACAATAAGACATAATGCAAGCATGCCATACAATGGTATTAATTTACTTCAGTTGTGAAGTTACTATTCTCAAGTCACCATTCTCAGTAGAGAGATGACAACAACCAATTTTACTTCCCTCTAAGATAATCAACTCCTTTGAGAAACAGTAACACTTTAACACAACCCTTTCAATAATAGAGGTTGGGGCAGAAAAAGAGAAGAGGACCTACCGACAGATTCATATATATTTTAGCAATATATGTCAGAAAGAGTTTTTGCTACTTATCCATCCTTAATAGGTTTCAGTATATGTTAGATATGTACAAAATAACACAGAGGTAGACAAAGATTTTCTTCAAGTATTCCATTTCAATAACATAGGAACAATCTATTTACATAATTCTTAATTTATAGCCACTTATTTGTGAAAAGTACAAACTTACTCAAAAAATATGATTCAGGTCCAGCACTGTGGCGTGGTAGGTTAAACCTCCACCTGCAGTGCCAGCATCCCATATGGGCACAGGTTTGAGTGCTGGCTGCTCCAGTTCCAATTCAGCTCCCTGCTAATGGCCTAGAAAAGCAGTGAAAGATGGCCCAAGTGCTTGTTCCCCTACACACAAGTGAGAAACCTGGAAAAAGCTCCTGGCTCTAGCTTCAGACTGGCCAGCTCCAACCATTGCTGCCATCTGGGGAGTGAAACAGCAGATGGAAGATCTCTCTTCTGTCTCTGTCTGTCTGTCTGTCTCTCTCTCTCTCTCTAACTCTCCCTGTCAAATAAATAAATAAATCTTTTTAAAAAACAACTACAATTCATCACTATAATCATGATGAAACTAATGTAATGCAAAAAATTACTTTTGAGTTCATCATGAAAGCACAAAAATTTGGCATATAACAATGTAAGATGGATGTTATTTAGTCTAAGTACTAGCAAAACTCCAAGAATGGAAGTTTAGTTATAACATTAAGCTTCTCCTTACAGAATCCATATTTTGGTTTGCTATTATGGAAAATTAAGACTATATAATTACCTTTAAAAGATCATACTTATTCAAACTATTTGGTACATTATTAAGAAGACCAAAAATGTTTGCCTATAGCTCACAGGTCAATTTATCCAGCTTTACTTCTAAAGAGTATCTTTTTAAAGACTTCCAAGTAGAAGGCCATTTCCTCATTTTTTTCATTTCTTTCTCCCATAACTCATCATTCTATCTTCTTTTTATTATTATTATTTATTTGACAGGTAGAGTTATAGACAGTGAGAGAGAGACAGCAAGAAAGGTCTTTCTTCCGTTGGTTCACTCCCCAAATGGCCGCTACGGCCAGTGCTGCACCGATCTGAAGCCAGGAGCCAGGTGCTTCCTCCAGGTCTCCCAAACAGGTACAGGGGCCCATGCACTTGAGCCATCCTCCTCTGCCCTCCCGGACCACAGCAGAGAGCTGGACTGGAAGAGGAGCAACCAACACTAGAACTGATGCCCATGTGGGATGCCTGCACCGCAGGCTGAGAATTAACCAAGAGAGCCATGGTGCCAGCCCCCATCATTTGATCTTCTAAGTGTATAGTTTACATAGGAAGATAGAATATAAAAGCATAAGACTAAAAAATATTAAATCTCACAATATGTAAGTGGCCAATTAGCATCCTGGAACAGAATGAGGTAAATTCTACACTAAATAAAAATAACCCAGTTCTGGCAAATATGTAATACAAAATTATCCAATTGAAGCAAAATTAAGGTGGTAGAAAATTGAACCTCTAACTCTATGCAATTTGGGTGAAACCATCCATCATTACCTTCCTGAAAGACTCTTAGATTAGTTGGAAGAACAAAAGCAAAGGAAAACGCCACTCCATCTATCCCATCTACTCTTCCTTACCCTGTGGTCATAGTTTAACCAAACTAAACATTCTATGTCAAGATGAATACAGTTCTGAGAGCTAAATGCAGATCTATTAATAATTATACCAAGACAAGTGCCAACAGAAGTACTCATACTAGGAAGAATCCTTTTCTCCTAATCTCTCACATCTGTTTCTAGGACAGGGTATACTCACACTATTTTTTCTTTGAAAAGAGAGAATGGGTAATATATGCGACGTTAATGATGCTCCTTGGGTAAGACTTGACTGCTCCTGCAGACACTCCTTTGTAGTCAGAGGGGTGAACTGTAAAACTTTGATCTTTGGAATCTCAATTTTTTATGTGAAGAATGAAGATGTTGGAATGGACAACTTCTACAGTCTCTTTCCTATTGTTGTACTGTCGAATTTCCCCCATGAACTTGAAGATCTGAAAGGGAAAACATGGCAAATGTTTATCTCCTTGTTTCAAAATGTTAGTCATACATTAAACATAAGAAAATACCACATTTTTTTCTCTAAAACATGACATCTGTAAAAATCTGTTATTAAAGAAGGTACATAAACTTGGTTCTAACTAATGCAAGGGAGAAAATCATTTTAGATCTACATATTAAGCAAAATTTAAAAAGCCAGTGATATAAATATCATAAATTATAAAGTTTTAATATTTTAGAAAACCAGAACTGGTAACTATATATATATATTTTTTTTAAGATTTATTTATTTATTTGAAAGGCAGAGTTACATAGAGGCAGAGGCAGACAGAGAGGTCTTCCATCTGCTGGTTCACTCCCCAAATGGCCACAATGGCCAGAGCTGGGTTGATCTGAAGCCAGGGTCTCTCATGCAGGTGCACGGGCCCAAGCACTTGGGCCATCTTCTACTGCTTTCCCAGGCCATAGCAGAGAGCTGGATTGGAAATGGAATAGCCGGGTCTCAAACCAGCACCCATATGGTATGCCAGCACTACAGACATTGGCTTTACCAGCTATGCCACAGCACTGGCCCCAGTTAACTATATATAACATTTACCTTAATCTTCTCAAAATGACATTCCTCCTTTTCTGAGTTTATCTGCTTTATTGACTCCTCCACCTTCAGTGGAGTTTATTTCTTCCATTTTTTTTAAGATTTATTTATTTATTGGAAAGTTAGATTTACAGAGAGAGAGGAAGAGAGGTCTTTCATCTGCTGGTTTACTCCCTAAATGGCCCCAACAGCCAGGGCTGGCCAGGCCAAAGGCAGAAACCAAGCGCTTCTTTTGGTTCTCCCACATGGGTGCAGGGGCCCTAGAACATAGGCCATGTTCTTTGCTTCTCCCAGGCCATTAGCAGGGATCTGAATGGGAAATGGAACAGTCAGAACTCAAACTGGCACCCGAATGGGATGCAAGCATTGCAGGTGGTGGCTTTACCCCTAAACCACAATGCCAGCCCCATTTCTTCCATTTCTGAAAGAAATTACATAATCTTTGAGATTATGAATTTTTGGTTACTTCTCACCAATTTCTTAAGTTATATAGATTCCTTAAATACAAAATCATTTGTATTAAATTTTATAAGAAAACAATTACTTGACACAGATATAAGTACTTTTAAAATTAAACCAATTTTGGCCCGCGCAGCGGCTCACTTGGCTAATCCTCTGCCTGAGGCACCGGCACCCTGGGTTCTGGTCCCAGCTGGGGCACCAGATTCTGTCCCAGTTTCTCCTCTTCCAGTCCAGCAATCTGCTGTGGCCCGGGAAGGCAGTGGAGGATGGTCCAAGTGCTTGGGCCTTGCACCTGCTTGGGAGACCAGGAGGAAGCATCTGGCTCCTGGCTTTGGATCGGCGCAGCACACTGGCCACAGCGCACCAGTCGTGGTGGCCATTTAGGGGGTGAACCAACAGAAAAGGAAGACCTTTCTCTCTGTCTCTCTCTCTCTGTCTAAATCTGCCTGTCCAAAAAAAAAATTAAACCAATTTTTAAAGTTCAGTTCAATCTCATGAGCATCCATTCTAAAGTTTCCGTTTATTGACATAAGTTTCTCCATCTTTTGTTTATTTTACCTTCTTAGAATTTGTGCAAAAGATGCAAAATGCCTAATATCTCTGTAAGATAGATAAATTTAGAAATATGTTCTGAATATATCCATGATTACTGGTTAAAAGAGTGGGAAAATATATATTGTTTTAATTTTAATGTTAATAGTTATTGAAAAATATTTTCACCCTTGTGATATGATCACTATCACATTCTACGTCTTGCCTTTAAAGTAGAAGACATTCTACTCAACATTTCTATTATTGTCATAGCCAGTATGATATTAGGAGTCCCACAGAAAACTCCCAACTCTCATCTAATGTATTTAATGTAACCATAACAAACACATTTTTAAATTAGAATCTCTGTAAAGTGTATGTTATTAACTGACAAGTCCAAAAAATTTAGTGAACTCTTTTTTGGAATTCCTGGAAGATGATGGTTTGTTGTACCATAACTCCCATTTACTTTGCTTTTGTTTTACCAGAGTAAATCTTATGAACTGTATGCTTATATTGGTAATAATTCAAAATAGATATAATTCAGAGAAAAATCTATTTAACATTTAGTTTACTTTAGGCATCAAATTTTTTCTGGCAGATGTTAAATGTATGTTGGAGTTAGTATTAAAAAACCAAATAATTCCATGCCACACAAATATGGATTAAATATGAGTATCATATTTATGAATATATGAGCATACACACTTCCTAATTAACTTGCTGATACTTTTAACAATATTACATAGGCTTCAGGTAAAAATCATTTCCACTATAGCTGTTTCTTTTAAATATTTTCTCATATTTTAAAGTTAATACATAATTACTACCTAAAGTTTGCAAAACAGAAAATAGTAAAAGGAATAAATATATCTTTTCACCTAATATATAATAACAGTCTCTATTATGCTTTTGGTAATTTCCATTCCAGTTTTTATTCCTTAATTTTTTTACATTGGTTCTAATTACACTGTGTAAAACTGTATATCTTGAACTTCATATTTAACCTCATATAGCATTTCTTATAGTAATATACACTAATCTGAATGTCAATTTGAAGGATGCTAAGAGAATTACATGAGATAGACATAGGTAGGACTTGGTTTAGTTTATGATACATATTAGCTGTATGACAGTATATTTTAGCTACTATCTTCATCATTATATGTATTATTAATATCCAACCATTAGGCTCCACTGTAAAATATACAACCATGTGATTATTTTAAAATGTTTAGGTTTCTTAGTTCTTCTTAGCTTTATAAATAATACTGTATATGACATGTTTTATACATAAATTTATTTCCATCTTTTATATTATATTCTTTTTTTAACTTTTATTTAATAAATATAAATTTCCAAAGTACAACTTTTGGATTACAGTGGCTTTTTACACCCCATAACTTACCTCCCACCCGCAACCATCCCATCTCCGGCTCCCCCTCCTATCCCATTCATATCATGATTCATTTTCAATTATCTTTATATATAGAAGATCAATTTAGTATATATTAAGTAAAGATTTCAACAGTTTACACCCACACAGAAACACAAAGTACTGTTTGAGTACTAGTTACAGCATTAATTCACATTGTACAACACATTAAGGACAGAGATCCTACATGGGAAGTAAGTGCACAGTGACTCCTGTTGTTGATTTAACAATTGACACTCTTGTTTATGGCGTCAGTAATCACCCAAGGCTCTTGTCATGAGCTGCCAAGGCTATGGAAGCCCCCTGAGTTCACTGACTCTGATCATATTTAGACAAGACCGTGGTCAAAGTGGAAGTTCTCTCCTCCCTTCAGAGAAAGGTACCTCCTTCTTTGATGGCCCCTTCTTTCCACTGGGATCTCACTCACAGACATCTTTCATTTAGGTTTTTCTTTTTTTCTTTTTTTTTTCTTTTTGCCACAGTGTCTTGGCTTTCCATGCCTGAAATATTCTCATGGGCTTTTTAGCTGGATCCGAATGCCTTAAGGGCTGATTCTGAGGCCAGAGCACTGTTTAGGACATCTGCCATTCTATGAGTCTGCTGTGTATCCTGTTTCCCATGTTGGATCATTCTCTCCTTTTTAATTCTATCAGTTAGTATTAGCAGACACTAGTCTTGTTTATGTGATCCTTTTGACTCTTAATCTTATCATATATTATATTCTTAAAAGAGATTTCCAAAATTGAATCACCAAATAAAATGGAATACACATTGCCAAGACTTAATGTACATCATCAAATGTTTTGCAATGAGTTGTCCCAACTTTTCCTCCTGCCAGTGATGTATAGGAGTGACTCTTTGTGGCATCCTCACTGACACTCAATATTATTTTGTTTTTTCCACTGACACATACTAATCTACTTTAGCCATGTTCTTGGCTCTATCTGCCTCCAGTAATGTATTGTCCTTTTTATTTTTGAAGAATATATAATATAATATATAATATAATATATATATAATTTGACATAAAGAAGATACAAGAACAATAGAAGGAATTCCACAATACCCTTTACCAGTTCCCCTGAATGATAGCAATTTCTTACATTTGCTTTTCTCTCCTTCTGTAGATGGATATAATTTTTTCTGAAGTATTTAAGAATAAATTGCATAAATGACACTGCTGATTTCACATAGTGAAAATACACTATAAACTGTTTTTCATGGCCCTGAAATTTTGAGATCTCTATTCTGAATCTCTGCTAATCTAGTACATGAAAATAAATATGATGGGATTTTTTTTCTGTTTTTTTATTTTTTAATAACTTTATTGAAATATAGTTCCCATACTATACAATTCACCCATTTAAAGTGTACAGTTCAGTGGATTTTAGCAAATAAGATTATACAATCATCACCACTGTCTAGTTCCAGAATATTCTCATCACCCTAAAGAAACCCTGTCCCCATTAACAGACACTCACCATCTCTCTCTCTCAGTCCCTGCCAACTACTTGTCCACTGTCTCTATGGGTCTGCCTATTTTGGGAAGTTAAGGGGCTAGAGTGATATCTTAATATATGTATAAAATGGACAGTGATAAGGGGAAATGTTGATTACCTTGTCTTGATCAGTATTTTGCTTTAACTTGTCTGTTGACCCAAAGTTAACATGTTTATCTATATTAACTAGATTTGTTATTATCCGTTGATGATTTTTGCCCATTACTTACATATTTGCTCACCTTCCATGAAAGAGAAAAATAGTAATCAGTTCACAATATCAGAAAAGATCATGTCCCTGCTCACAGTAAATTTATAACCTAATTGAGAGTAAAGGTTTAAGACAGCAGTTTTTTGAAAAAAATAATTTTTAATCATGGAAATTATCCTAAGATGAAATTTTCCATGCAAACACAATGAGAGACAATAGATAAAAGAGCGGATTGTCTGGAAGATGGAAAATTCCAACCA